TACTCTGTCCTCTGATGGTTTTATAGGTGTGCTATTCGGTGGTAATGCTGAAAAGCTTCCAGATTTACTGCGCAGTTTAGCACCAACTTTTACGTTATCAAACACAACATATATACAGGATGGAAAACTTTCATTGTCCTCGGAAGTAATATGTGAAATTTTGCCAAAAACACCATTTACTAGGCCATCAGATACATCAATGTTTTTAATTAACATCACACGAGCATTTATAGCCAAAGTAACCGTCTTTGCCAAGTTTGTATTATACACTTTGACATAGTTTCTCTGTCGCTGTTCTAGTTTTTTAGTTTTAGTATTTCTAGAAAAGTCTTGAGCGTTGATACATATGAGGTCTGAACAAGTTGCGTGAAGCATGTTTATATTACATAGATCCACATCTTTATTTGTTGCAAATATATGCATACCATTATACTCTTCACCAGTTTCACACTGACGAAATATGTTTATAACATTTGATGGTAAATCATCAGATTTTCTCCGCGTTCTGACAATATTTAATGCCTCAGCAAACTGTTGATCTTGCTGCCTTACTACATCTGTTAATTCAGCAATGGCAAAATAATCATTCCACAGATCCATGCCTTCGCTACTAACATATAAAGCTTTTCCTTTTACAGGTGGTAATTGATAAAAATCGCCTACAGCAATCACAGAAACATTTCCAAATGGTGAATAGTCACCAGTCTGTTTGATTTGCCTTAATCTCCCATGTATATAACAAAGCAACTTCTTGTCAACCATTGAAATTTCATCAATAATAAGAATCTGCAGACTACTTAGTTTGGAACGAATGGTGGTTAATGTATCTTGTCCTAGTGGTTGATATGGCAATTTGGCATCAACTGCTATTGAGAAAGTACTATGGACAGTGGTTGCATTTATGTTGAACGCAGCTACACCAGTCGGTGCTGTTAACAGAACAGAAATATCATCTGGATTTGGTAGAATACGAGCAAGAATTCTTGAAGCCTCATAATACACAGCCTTGATAACATGGGATTTTCCTGTTCCTGCTCCTCCACTTAAGAACATGTGAAATGGTGCAACATTCTTGCCATTAGCTTTATCTAAACACCATTGTCGAACAGTGTAAAATATATCACGCTGTTTATCATTAAGTGATCTCATCAATATTTTAGCCTCATTTTTGGACATTCCACACTGATTATATACTTCTTTACAAACGTCTTTTTTATCTTTGTGCAACAAGTCTGGAATTGAATCTTCACTTTCTGATTCATTAGCTATCGAATTCGTACTAGCTGATTCTAAACACTCTAATCTTTCTTTCTCGGACTCTGGGTGAATTTGTGCCCATGCATCTTCTAAAATAGAGCATGACTCAAGCATTTGCTCAGCTGCATCAATAACATCAACATCTTTCTCAAACATTGCTTTATTTCTGTCAACTATAGATTTTACTCTTTCAGGCCAATTGTTCTTGTATTTCACAGCACCAGTTTGATAAAACTCTTCAAATGAATGGAATTGTTTAGGTTTCAACTGGCATTCAGCTCTATATGGTAAAAAAAGTTGCAATATACTTTGATAATGCTTCTCTGGTTGCTTAGTTACTGAAAATCTTGCATATCTGACAACTGCAGATCAGTTATTGTTCTCTTTTG